GGGGGGCGAGGGGGCTGGTATATTTTGAGACAGGTGTTGAGCAGCCTCCTCAATTGCCCGCAAATAATAAACCTCTCTTAACTTCTCAAAAAGAAAGGAAAAAGAAAAGAAAAGAAGAAGAAGAAATCTGCTTGTGAAGTAAGTGACTTCTGGGTTTCAGTTATGTCGAAATCTGAGCGGGGCTCCAAGGTGGTGGTTTAGAGACATCTCATCAGCCGCTCTGGGTGAGTTAGGGAAGAGGCTGGTCCAGCCGCCTCCACCTGGACTGTCCTGCCCGGAAACCGTATTGCAAAGGCTCAGAGAGACAGTGTGGGACACCAGGAGTGAAAAGGATAAGAAGGGCGGGAGACCTGCACCGAGAGCAGGTGCAAGGGGCACAGTGTCCCAGGGACAGAGCCTAATACGTGGAATCCCGGTAGCGGGGGCTGGTGGGGAATAAATCTGCCAGAGGGACAGAGTGCGCCATTCTTCCGGGAATTGGGTGTGGCATGAGACCAGAAGGAATTGAGGTCCCACGGGACTCTAGGGGTCGCAAAAAACGGGCCCTTTGGTGGAGGGCGGGAGAGACAGCGTCGGCCCATGGCAGCTTTGGGACAGAGTCTGACACCGGCATCTGGACACCCATGCCAGCAGCGTCCGGGCGGGTTTGGACGTGGACTTTGCCCGACAGGAGACCAGCCGCCCGCCGCCGCTTTAAGAGAGCCGGGTGAGGGGAGCAGAGATCACCCAAGTCCTGAGCCGGTTTGGAGCAGTTTTCCAGGGACCCAGCACAAACCCGGCTTGGATTCCACCTGCTAGGCTGGGACAGCCATCCCTGGGCTGACACGCAGGCGGGACTGTGACGGCCCCCCCTCTGAATCAGCCCGGACTTGGGGAGCCCACCTCCCACACAGCCCCCACCCACCCCAGACCTCCGGGTGCTGCTCCCAGAACCCGGCACCTCCCTAGGAAACCCCGCGTGGTCTCTGGGCCGCATCCCCCTCTGCCCTACGGACATCAACGCTCGCGCAGTTACCATGCCCAGAATAAAACAGGAAAAAACGAGTCCAGATCTCCACAGCGACCAACTGGAAACTTCCTTCCCCCAAACATTACAGATGTCATGTAGTTGTTTGTTTTTGCTTTTGTTTTTGTTTTTGTTTTTATTTCTAACGCTAGACCACAGCCTAGTGGTCTCACTAATTTTCCCCTTAATACTAGAAGGCTTCCTCTTGTACTTCATTTTTAAAATAGTATTTGTTTTCCTTTTTCCCTTTCCCTCCCTCCCTCCCTTCTTTCCTTCCTTTCTTTTCTTTTCTTTTCTTTTCTTTTCTTTTCTTTTCTTTTCTTTTCTTTTCTTTCTTTCTTTCTTGACAGATTCTCACTCTGGCACACTGGGTACAGTGCCCACAGCAACCTCAAACTCCTGGGCTCAAGTGATCCTCCTTCCTCAGCCTCCCAAGAAGCTGGGATTACAGACACCCACCAGAATGCCTG